AGTAAAGAACTGTTAAATGTATTATGATGTACCCATACCCTGGGATGCTATGAAACTAATAATGTGGAGGACTGAGGCCACTATATTGTTGACATGGAAAACATGTCCTAAATATATTACAAGATGTCCTAAATATATTTCTATTTTCCAAATGGAAAATAGCCCTGGATGGTGTAGCTCAGTGGATTGAGCACGGGCCTGTGAACCAAACGATTGAGGTTCGATTCCCACCCAGTCAGGGCACATGCCTGGATTGCAGGCCAGTTCCCAGCAGGGGACACAGGAGAGGCAACCGTACATTGATGTTTCTCTTCCTCTCTCCTTCCCTTCCCCTCTAAAGATAAATAAATAAAAATAAATAGATATTTTTTAAAAAAGGAAAATAAAAGGTAAGCTGTGTAATAGATTTTTTGTATTGAAGTATTTACATATACTTGTTGAAGAGTGTTAAAAAATGAAAGGATATATTAATCCATTTTTCTTGCACCATCAGGCTCTAGTGATGTTAAATGGATGTAAAGTTTCCAGATCTTAGCTGAAAATGTCATATGTGTATTCTTTCATACGGGCCTTCTAATTCCAAGGTTGGAGGTTAAGCAAGTAACATTTTCCCCTTTCCCTCTTGCGTCAATCTTTTGTTACAGAATTATGGCTCCTTCATTGTAAATATAATATATATTTGCCAATTGGATTCAGGAATACTAAGAAATCTATAAATTAAATGGAATGATGTAGCCCAAGTTATATATTTTTTTGTAATAAAAAAGAAAAGATTCATTTTATTTCATTCTTTTCTGCAAACTGTCTGATAAAATTTATAACTTTTGAGTTTTAGATTTTTGAGAGTAACTCTTTGGCAATGCCTTTTCCTAACAAAGTCAACTAAGACTGCATGTACTATATTGTAGCCTAAAATATACTTTTGCACAGATTAACTAAATTGATTGTTATAACAAACTCCTGAGAGAAGTAGATATCATTGTCACTACATTCCAGATGATGAGCTTAAAGCTAAGAGAAATTAAACTGGCTGAATTAAAAAATAAGAGTAATTAGTCAGAGTTCCAAACCATTCCTGCTTTCTCAATGACAAATTCTTTCCAATGTTCATAACACCAAGTGTATATAATAGAAAATTGTTATGATTTTGTTTTGCTCCTTTTAAAAAATATAGTTGATATACAATATTGTATTAGTTTCAAATGTACAACATAATGATTCTAGCCATTTGTGACAACATGGATGGACCTGGAGTAAGTTAGGCTGAGAGAGAAATGGTCAGAGCAAGACAAATACTATATGATCTCATTTATATGTGGAACAACAACAACAACAATAACCAAAAACAAACAAAAAAGCCTAATGAACAAACAAAACAAGACAAGAGAGTCTTACAGATCCAGAGAACCAACGGATAGGTACCGGAGGGTAGTGTTGCAGGGGGTGGTTGAAAATGTGAAGGAGAACCAGGCATACAAACTTCCACCTATAAACTAACATAAGTCATGAGGATGCAATGTCCTTCATAGGGAATACAGTTGTATCATAACAACTTTTTATGGTGACAACTGCTATGATTTTTGAAATATAGGCCAACATATGTGGGGTTTTTTTGTTTTGTTTTTTAAAGGGTGAGCACTTTCTCAGGTGCTTTGTGTGCTAGTCTTTATCCAGTGATTTTATGTACTGGTATGATACTCAGTTCTTTCCTTATTTACTCTTTTTTAATCCTGAGAGCAAACACTATGAGTTTCTGTCATCAACTCCATTTATGATGCTTAGGGAACCTTAGTAATTTGCTCAGGTTTACTCATTTAGCAAGCACCTGTACAATTATTTAGAAAGACAAATGAGATGGCACCATCTCATCACCAGAAAGAAAGTGTATCAAACCAGATAATTCTGAGGTCTTTAAGTCTTTTCCACTTCTGAGCCTTTGAGTGTATGTGGTCCCTTAGCCCCTTCCTTCCAGGAATCTTGTACTTCAAGGCCCAGTGGGAAAAAATGCTTTCTCCCCTGGAAAGCCCTCCCAGATTCCTATCAAGGGGAAGTACTCTTTTATCCTCCCCACTAACCTGACTTTATGCCCTCATGGTGTTTAGCATATGCTGCTTCTCACGGTGGCCTCCTGTGAGCCTCATCCTACAGCCTTTGCCGGTTGGCCATGAGCTCCTGCCAAGTGTAGATAATGTAAAAACGTTTTTTAGGTTATATAAAGTGCAGTTTAGAATGAAAAAAGGGTCAGCTGCCAGTAGCCTGGTCTCATGTGTGCATGTATGACATACACACATACACATTTAAAATCGTGGCAGGTCTCAGAAAAATCTTTTATCACAGAAAATGTATTAATATGCATGCAGATTAATCTGTTTTGCTATAAATATAACTGAAGATTTTCAGATTTCTTTTATTGTAATCATTGGGAAAAATTTTCATAGTTTTTGTAGTGCCTGTACAAAGAGGTAGACCTTAGGCTGTGTGCCTCTAATACTGGGTGGATGAAGTTCCCCACCTGCTGTGCCCTCCCACTTTGGTAGGCCTGATGAACTTAGGCTTCCCTATATACCCTACTTCAGTGGTGTCAAACTCTTTTTCACTGGAGGCCACATCAGCCTTGTGGTCACCTTCAAAGGACCTAATTTAATTTTAGGACTGTATAAATGTAACTTACTCCTTAACTACAGGTGAGGAACTCAGCGCTTCCACCAGTTAAAATAAGGTGGAGGGCTGGATTCGGCTGGTGGGCCTTGTGTTTGCCACCTGTGCCCTACTTCTACCTGGCACGTTCTTTTTACTATGGCTTCCATTCCCCCAACCCTTTTTTTTTAAGAGTTTATTTATTTACTTTAGAGACACAGGAAGGGAGGGAGAAAGAGAGGGAGTTTGAAACATGAATGTGTGAGAGACACCCCACCCCCACCCCAACCAGGGTCCCCGGCCTAGGTTACCTCTTGGTCTACAGCCTGGCGCTGAATCCACTGAGCCACACCAGCCAGGGCTCTCAGCCTTTCTTTCTAAATCCTACTTGTTTTCAGATTCAACCAGGAACAAGACTGCCAAGACTCCTGCTCTAATAACTTACTTTTGGGTGAAAGGAGCATAAGTAAATAAACATATCAATAGCAGATCTTTAGGAGTGATACAGGGTATGAGAAAATAAAAACGGGCAATAGCAGAGAATGGGGAGGGCACTACTTTAAAGAGATTGATTGGTCTGGCAACAGCTCAGTGCTCAGAGGCCATTTGAAGAGAGACCTGAGGATGGAGGAGGAGGAGGAAGAGAAGGTGAGGGAGGGGGAGGAAGAAGAGATTCCAGATAGAGGGAACTGCTAGTAGGAAGAGGAGGATGGGTAGGGGTAGGGGAGGGTAGGTGAGAGTAGGGGAGGGATTTTTGGGAGAGGGAACTGCTAGGAGGACAGGGAGAGGGAGGAGGGGGAGGAGGAGGAGCAGGAAGAGATTTCAGAGAGGGAACTGCTAGGGCAAAGGACCTGAAGCAGAAAAGAGCCCAGTGTCCCAGAGAACAGAAAGCAGGCCTGTGACTGAGTAGCAGAAGCTGACGACAGAAAAACAGGAGGTGGGGGCCGAGTTCTGCAGGGACTTGGCGTTTTTTGTGTGGTCAGATTTTATTCCAGACGTGGGGGCATTAAAGCTGAATTTGGAGGAACGTAATCTGGCAGTTAGTGGGAGTTGGTGCTTTAGGCTGACTTTTGGAAGCCCCCAGTGGTTCTCTGCCCCACTGCCAGTGTGTAATCTAGAGGGGCAGTTTCGCCTCTGTGCGATCAACGCCCATTTACTCGGCTGCTTCCTCTCCAAAACTTAAATTCCAGGGAAAGCCTCTGTTCGGTGAGGCCGGCGCGCAGCCTTGCCCGTGTCCGCTGAGAACGCACAGACCCTATCTGCTGCAGGGGTGACAGGGCGGTGGCACACGACGGGTTAAAAGAAAGGCCAGCACAGAATTTTCCCCCTGGAAGCGGGGCCTCCCACTTGGCTTGGCCAAGCAAGTTCCGGCACCAGGAGGCCGAGGCTGGCGCGTGACGCCGATGGCCGCACGTGGCCCAGGAGTGTGCATCTAGGGACAGGTGCGGGGGGCTGCAGAGCTCCCAAAGGCGCAGATTTGCCCGGTCCTCAGCACCCTCTCGTTCCAATTTATTCTCGGTTTCGCAGGTCGGCTGGGCGGCAGCTGCGGTCTAGCCCAGCGACAGTGTCCTCAAGGGGAGGCATAGAGAACCGCCCCCCCCCCCCACATGAGAAGCTCTGTGCGTTCGGGCAGCCCGGCAGGCCACAGGAAGGGCTCGCTTCCTGTGGAAGGGCTAAAAGTTTTTGTTTTGGCTCTGAGGCTCAATTTGCCGCAGAGATGCAATCTAAGAAATGGAACACTGAAATAAACAGACGCACTTTGCACACTTGGACTCTTTAGTTCAATTCAATCTGTCCACTTTCCTCCTCCTTTTGGAAGCCCAAGAGTCCGGATTAGGCAGGCGATCAACCGCAACATCTCTCCATCCCGCGGCGCAGTGGCACGAATTGATTTTGCGCCTCCTGGAGCCCGGAAGCTCCGGAAGGGTCCGAGCCTGCAGAAGACGACCGCACTAGGCCGGGAGTCACGTGACTCCTGGGGCCGAGCAGGGGCGGAGGGGGCAACGGAGAAGTGCGCTTGCGCACTTATTTTCGCGACGGAAGAGGGGGAGGGGGTTGGTTGGCTGGCTGCAACCACTGTCAGCCCCTCCCCCTTTTTCTACGATTTCATCCTTCCTGACATTCACTCTCTTCAGTCCCCCGCCCATTAGTTATGTCAAAGAGACAAGCTGAGGAACCAATTACCGCGCAAAATTTAGACGCTGGTACGCGGAACCGGTCAGGATGGACCAATGAGATCTCTTGGAGCACAAGCACCCCAATCAGACAGGAGAACCAGCCTGAGTGGGCGGTGTTTCCTCAGTCAGCCAGTGGGCGGGGGAGGGCGGGGACCAGCAGCCGCAGAGGCGTCGACGGCCGCGACGGCGACGTTTTTCAGTCTTCGGTGTGGGCTCGGTGGCGCTGGCAGGGGTGTGGGGCGGTCTCGGTAGTCGGCGGCAGCGGCGGCCCTAGGTGGGGAGGGCCCCTGCGCGATGGGGCGGCGGTAGACGCGCTCCTACATTAGAGGCTAGAGGCGGCCGCGGTCATCAGGCCCGCCGCGAACTTAGGCGGGGCTCAGGGTTGGGGAGGCCCGGGGCGGGGGTCGTCCCGGGCTGCGTGGGGCTGCGGGGCGGGGCTCGGAGGCAGTCGGGCAGTAGGAGGCCTGGGCAGCCGCGAGGAGCGCCGCTGGCCGCTGGGCCCCGCCACCAGGCCGCTCGACGACGACGCTCCCGTGGGAGACTAGCCTGAGGAGGACGCGGCGGCGGCGGCGAGGCCGCGGGAGGCCGCGGAGGATGGAGGAGCGGAAGGAAGAGGGCGAGGCGGAGATCCAGGAGCACGGGCCCGAGCACTGGTTCTCCAAGTGGGAGCGGCAGTGCTTGGCCGAGGCCGAGCAGGACGAGCAGCTGCCCCCGGAGCTGCAGGAGGAAGCGGGGGCCGCAGCGCAGCCCGAGCACAAGCAGCAGAAGCTGTGGCACCTTTTCCAGAATTCGGCCACCGCCGTGGCCCAGCTCTACAAAGGTGAGGGCCGCTGCCGCCATCTTGCGGCCTCCGCCTGGGGCCTGACCCTCGGCCGAGAGCCCCGGGGCGGCTTGCGGAGCTCCGGCCGCCGCCCCGCCGCCCTCTCTTCACAAGATGGCGGCGCGGCAGGCGGGGCCTCTGAGGAGGCCCGGGGTTGACTCGGGGGATGTCGTCTTTGGGGGCCGGCCCGGAGGAGTTCGTTCGCTCCTAAGGCCGGGCTGCCGGACGCCCCCAGGCCGAAGAGGGCAGGGGAGGAGCCCCTAGTCACAAAATGGCGAAGGGAAGCAGGAGGGCCGTCCCTATTGTGCCTGAAGCCGGCCTCGGGGCGGGGACTGAGGGGGCACCTCCCTGTGCCGCAGCTCGCTCTGGTTACTTGCCTCCGAGCCCCGCGGCAGCCCCTCACCCCGCCGCAACCCCTTTCTTGCCTTCTTCCTAGTCACTGGGATCCCGAAACTCTTGAACAAAATGGCGAAACCTAATATGGCCGTTCTGGAGTGATTGACGCGCAAATAAAATTTTTTTCTACCACTGTTTTCAGACCGAGTGTGTCAGCAGCCAGGACTTTCTCTCTGGGTCCCTTTCCAAAATGCAGCCACCGCCGTCACCAACCTCTACAAAGGTAAAGATAACCTTGCTACATTGCGGATAAAGGGGAAGGGCACCCTGCGTCAGGGTTTAAGTCCTGCGTTCCGATTGTATTGGTCACCTTTACCTGGTCCCAGGTAAAGGAATGTTTTCTGTTCCTGAATCTAACCAATAATTCTGAGCATTTTGCAATTTGGAAACTCCGGTGGTGTTCTGTCAACCTAGACCAGTAATTTTCAGCTGGGAGGTGATTTTGACCTCCTGAAGCCCCCAGGTACATTTGGCAATATCTAGGGGGCGTTTTTGAGTGTCATTACTGAGAAGGGGCTCTGCTTATGTTGTACCGCGCAAGATGGTTCTCTCACCTCTACGCCCCAAATGTCAATAGTGCCGAGGTCTAGGAGCCCTGAAGTGAACTGGGTAAGAGGAGCTTCCTTTTGGAAAAGGCACCCAAGGGAAGAGAGTTTATGATTTTGTGTCACAGCGAGGTAGGGGGGCGGGAAGACTTGTATGCACTTTGTGGAAAAGAATCTTGAGAGGCAGTTTCGAGCATGATAATTCAGAGCATGAAAGTGCATTGAAAAGTAGCTAATTGGAGTAATCTGTGCCCGCGTTAATGTGCTGCTCTTCCCTAGCAACTACAAGTATTTGTTTTAAAAACTACTTTATATCTGCTTGCACATTGTTGGTAGGATATCTGTGATCTAAGCGGGAATTACAGAGTTGTGTTTTATGTTAGTGCCTTTCTGGAGTTAATTTCTCTAAGATGGCATGAAAATATGTTGAGGAAACATTTGTCCATTGTGCTTCTTAGTGACAGTGGGTTGAGATTTTGTTAAGTAGTGATTTTAAAGATTTGGAAATTTGGGTTTGACTTTTGGTGTGGGCAAGGTTTCTGTGGGAAAAAGGATTTGGATTTGAATTTGTTAATCTTAGTAAATACAAAGTCAGATGCTTCCGAAGTTGTTAGAAGCTGCTGCTAACAGTAATAGAACTTGGTGCATTTCAAAATTATTAAATAGGCTGTTGAGTGACTTGATTTTTAGAGTCTTTTGTGTAAGAATGTAAAATTGATGATAGCATTCTATAAGAAAAATATCCTTACTGTGAAATTTCTTGGTTAGAATTTGCATTTTGGGGGGAAAGTAATTTCATACTGAACGTAAACTGGAACTGGTGAGTAGAGCATGAATTTTAAGGAATGAGGAACTTGGTCCAGGCTTACCAAGAAAAGGGAAACATAATTGAATGGTGTCCCAGTGGCCAGCTTTGATTTTCTGTGGCTGAGTTCCTTAAATTTTGACTCGTGAGTAGTTTGCTTTAACATCCATCAGGGCTTTTGAGAGTCTTGTGCATTCTTACAATGGCTCTTGGTTTCATCCAGACAGGGAATTTTGAAATGCAACACAGAACTCTTTTTCTACTCAGATTTCTGAGTGTAATATATTCATATCTTGGAGTATAATTTACATGCATTAAAATCGCCCTTTTAAGATGGGGGCTTGAGTTTGACAGACATGTGCTGTTAAGAAGTAAACCATACCTTCCCACCCTAACCCTTAGCAATCACTGATATGATTGCTGTATAAGAAGATGGGCTCAAAAGCTGAACTTTGAAATCTTAAATTTGTTTACTTGATTTGAAAATGTTGCTTAAAATTCACTAATTTGTTCAGGAAATGTAAGGTGAGACATTCTGGTTCTTTTAAAACATCACATGAGCCCTGGCTGGTGTAGCTCAGTGGATTGAGTGCGGGCCTATGAACTAAAGAATCGAAGTTCGATTCCCAGTCAGGGCACATGCCTGGGTTGCAGGCCAGTTTCCAGCAGGGGACACAGGAAGGCAACCATGCATTGATGTTTCTCTCCCTCTCTCCTTCCCTTCCCCTCTAAAGATAAATAAGTAAGATCTTAAAAAAAAATAAAACATCACATGAGGTTCTTACATTATTGCAAGTGCTGGATTATTAGTTTGAACTACTCTTATTTTGTATTTTTTTGTTGTTGTTGTTAAAAGTATTTTTACGTGGTAGAAAAGGCAGGTTGTGCCTTGTGGAATTTGGTAGTGTAGCAACATTATTATTATTTTTTTGCCTGATTCAGGGAGAGTATCCATAGTGCTCTGCAGTTAATTTCCTCCTTTTCATGGTGTGGTCTTCAGAGAACACAATTCAACTACAGGAATAATTGGGTATCTTAAACAGAACCAATAAAAGTGGCAAGGCAGTGTCACAAGTGTCTGCAGCATTAAGTGGTGATAAGTTTCAATCAGAATGTTCACAGTTCTGATTAATATTTAAATGCAGTTTACAGTGGGAATATTTGGGAGAATCCCTTTAAATGGGCAGTGCTCTTATATTTTGCATAATTAAGCATTTAACATAGCAAGCTAAAAATGGCTCATTTTGCAGCCTGGGGATAGCTTGGCACATTCACCCAACCTCTTCATAATCTCTAAAATGAGCACATTGGAAGGTTAGAATTGAGGTACAAGCTTAGAAGGGCCCCTTTTGATTGCCTGTGGCCTTCTGAAAAATTGAACATTGATTCAGTTTGGGTAGGAATGTAGCTGGAAGGATTTGGAGGAGAGTTCTTTGGGGTGTCCCGTCAGTGTGGACAGAACTCAACAAAATGGAGTGAGTGGTTCTTAGTACCTCACAAAGTAGAGCTAGATTTTGATATCTGTTTTGGAAAGGGGAAGAAAAATCCTGATTGCTGGTTCTTGTTTCTGTGTATTTAGTCATGTTGTGTCTCCCTTGCGTAGTCTAGTACATTTTTTGATGTCTGCAACTAAAGGGGGTGAAAAGTTACTGAGGTCATTTTAATCTAGCCCAGGTTGATGCTTACCTGGGAAATATTTGGCCAAGCCTGTATTGCTTCTTAAATCTACCACCCACCTGTCACATTTCCTTGGGTGACAGGTTTCCAGTCTGTTTCTTGACTCTTCGTTGGGAAAATATATATTCTCCTTACCTAGTTCAAATTCTTCCTGCTTGGGGCTACTTGCTCAGTAGAGAGGTTGGACTGGTTGTCCTCTAGGACAAGGCCACCCTAGGGAGCCTCACAGGGTCAGACCGAGGCGGGTGCCCTAGCTCTTCAGCCCCTGTGAGCCAGTGTTTGAGCCCACCCTGTAGATCCATTTTTAAAATTGTTTCTCTCAGCTCATTACTGTTTTTTCTTTTAAGTCCTTTTTTAAAATGATATGCCTCATTTGTTCCTTCACATTTTAAAACTGCTTCTGAAACTTTCAATTGAATGCTGAGTTCTATCACATATTAAGAGTTTTCTCTTGGTATTGTTTGCTGATAAAGGTTTGTATTAAAGATGTTTTGGTCTCTTCAGTGAACAGCATTTGCCCCAGGGCACGTTTGTGTTCCAGTAGTGCTTATAGAAAGTCAGCATCGTTATGGAGTCTACTGCTGGCTTATCTGAGTTTAGAATTTATTTAGATTGGAACTGCAACACAGCTTAAAGATCCTGGAGACAGATAATGGAGCAAGATTTCTTTTTTCCAACCACTGTCCTTTATTTTCTTAACTATAAGTGGGGGTTAGTACCCATAACTTAGTATAAGCTCTTTATTTTAGTGCTTGCATATATTGAGTATTCGAGTGTTAGGGTTGACTGTTGGTGGTCAAGTTTTATTTTTCACAGATTTATACCTGTAGGCAGTACTGAAAAGTAAAGAAACATAATTCTAGTTTTTTGGTCTACACTTTCTCTTTTTGTGTTGGAATAAGCTTTGGTATGTACCTTCCTTCCTCATTTTGGAATGTACCTTCCTTCCCCCCTAAAAGGGTCAAATGTGAATAAAATCTTCACATGCAAAAAATAGTATGATGCATTTAAGTCCTTATTTTTGAGATATCTTGGTGCCAAATTCTGTTTATAATAATCTCACTTCATCGGGCCATTTTGGACTTTATATAAGCTGAAAGTAAACTGAACATACTGAAAATTTGTGGGCCAAATGGTGAGTGAGACAGAGAGACAGCTATTGGGATTTCAGCTCCTTGAAATGTCTGGGGTTTGTTTATGACTCCTCTTGCTGCAAAAAACTAGTTGAACTTTGAGACTTTGTATGCCCTAGTATGGATCACGGTTAGAAACCCTGTCTTTAATTGTATTAAACTCATAAGGAATGCTAGTATCTTCAGTTATTCCTGATATTGTTTTAAGATTTTGTCTCTTAAGTTTTTATAGAAGACAATTATTTTCCAATGTGTAACTTCTCTGTAAAAAGGATGTTCTGGCTACAAATACCAGAAAATTACAAATTAGTCTCGCTTTGGTGGTGTGGACATGGATTGACTCAAACTTGCGGGTGAGGGTGAGGTTAACTGAAATTGGTGGCTCAGGCTCCCTGGCTCTACAGCTCTCCACCCTTAATCTGCTCACACAGGCAAGTTTGAGGTTTGTCTTAGGCTAATTTCATTATGTTGGCAGTTTACGTCACTTAATGAAATTTAGAAGAGATGGGAAAGTCTTTTTTCCCCAGAAGCTACTAGCAAATGACTACTATAGTTTCTTGGCCAGAATTTGGTCACATAATAATAACTTAGAACCAGTATCATAGTCATGGTTTTGGGTTGTGTAGATTAATTTTAGGACTAAGCCATATGTTCTACCCCTTGACGAAATGTGCAACAGAAGCTCCCCCCAGAGCTGTCCAAACAAAAACTTTGGAGGGTCTTTAGGAAAGGAAGCAGGATTGGATGCCACACAACTGTGGCTGCAATGATTCTTCCTTGGTTCCTGTCCTTTGTTTTTTTGTGGAAGGTGAAGATTAAGTAAATATCTAAGTAGCTAGAAGTTAATGCCTAGTAGAGACTACCTTATTAAGGGAAATACATAGTTATTTTCTCAAAACAATTGAAGAGCCATTATGGCAGACTGGTTGGTTAGTACAGGCTCAATTCTTAAGTTCAAATATTTTGTAGTCATTAGTGTTTCTTAGAAGTTACTTTGATACAGTGGTGTGCTCTTCTGGTTTGTAGATCCTCTAGGAGAATGGGAATTGACTTTACCTTTTATAGAAGGTATTTCTTATCCACTTACATCTATTTCTGCCACTTACTCCAACTTTAAGCAAGGCCCTTTGAACCTCATTTTCAGTTCCTTGTTTATGAAATTGGGGTATCTGCCCTGGCTGGTTTATACAGGGTTTGTGAGTATCTGAAAAACTATAGGTAATAAAATCTAATTAATTTTGTCTGTATCAAGATCAAATTTTGCATTTGGTCTTGACCTCAGAAGTGATGATTATTTGCCAAGTACCCCCCGCCAGTGGTGGGATGATTAGACTTCTAAAAATATTGTGAATTAAATTTCAGCTATTTACGTAAAACATTTTTAAAAAATATAAAACATGGGATATCTACTGTGACTGACATGAACCATTGTTTCTTGAGTGAGGAAATGAATGTTATTAAAGGTTAGATTGACATTTTGTGATGTTTTGGGGGTTTGCCTAACCTTTAAGCTTATGGCCCTTTCCCACAGTGACTTTGGTGTTAATAAGATAGTGTTGGGCCCAAGACTGTCCCCTACTGTTTTTGTATTGCACTTCTAGATTTGTGTGTCTATTGTTAGGGTTCAGATGTCTTCAAAGTGTTAAAAGTCCTAAAAATAGGACTGTATTTTAAAGGCAACATGAGATTTTTCTCTTCACTGGAATAACTGAGATCGAATTAATCTGGGTGGTAAAGTAATTGATTGCATTTGGCTTTCAGGATATGCTGTTAATGGTATAAAACCAAATTATGCCCAGGCAGTGCAAAAGCATGTACTTGAAGACCTTAAGTGTTATATCTGCTTTTCTTCTCCTATACTTTCTAGTATGTAAAAGTCAGTGTTTACAAAATGCCTACATTTTAGTGTGCCTTTGGTTGGTGTTGGTACTGAGACTTCTGCTGTGCGGAATTTTTGAGGTGAAATGATTTGTCAGTGGCATACAATGTAAACTTATGTAACTCTTTGATTTAAACCAGTGAATATTGGGTTTTCCAAGTTTGTTCAAATCTGTGGTTAAATCGTCAGCCTCTTGGGAATCTAACTTTTGCAACTTCCTTGTGTCCTCAATAAGAACAAACCTAAATTTTGTTAAGGTCTTTTTTCTGTGGCTTGTCAGTTTCCTTAACTCACCACCTTATGGAGCCTCTTACCTTTGACTCTGGTGGTTTGTATCAGGTTTAGCTTCTCTCTTTTTGCTGTCTGGTTTGCCAGGTGTACATTTCCAAGTCTGCTTTGGGCTTATTTCTTCTATCCCCTTCATGCTTCCAACTTTTTTCCCTCTATAGTGTATTTCCAGTTCTGGGCCTATCTCAATTTGCTTCTTGAATAATGAAATTTTATTAGTCATTCTTACTGGAAAGAGAATGACTTACTCTCCAGTTATGATCTTGATAACAACAGTTCTTATAAGGTGTAGGGCAGGTTTGTAGAAACCTGGTTGCTTCTAGGTTCATACATTTTACTTTTCTCCTCCCTTCCATGGTCAGTCCCACAGGATGGGCTTAGTTAGTTTTCTTGATGACTTGATTTCTTTTATCATGTTCCCAGTTCTTCAGACCACTTAAGGTCTAGCTATAGCTTGACAAAGTCACCTTAGAGTTTATCTCTGCCACTCAGGCTAGCTTCATCTAAGCCTTTAAAACTAAGAGGTGGAAAAGTGCTGTATTGCCCTCTTCATGCCATGTGTCTTTAAAATGGAATTCATGCTTCCTTTGTTTATGTGAAATGAGAAATCAGAAGTCATTGATTCACATAACTTGGCTATTTATTCTGGTGGTGAGGTACTGGAGAAATTACTATATTCTTGAGCTGCTTATTTTATCTGTAAAATCAGAGTAACCTATGTTGTTAACATTGTGATGGAGTGTAATATTTTTAAGAGTGCTTCCATGTACAACTTCCATTTTTAAAAAAAATTTATTTTTTAGTAATAAGGTCTGATCATCTGCTAAGGAATACCTCTTGTAATAATGTTCTGCTTGTGTTGTCCTCTGCCATATTTTTAATAATACAAATTTATACAGCTTGGGAGCCAATGATGTCTGGATTCTTGTTTTTCTTTCTGGGACACAACTTGTCATTGATCATGGCTCCTTCTTTCAGAGTCTTACCTTTGTAGCAGACAAAGAATTTTTTAAAAATTCAAGGCCAGAAAAAGTAATAGGTGATTCTTTGTTACACAAGAATTAAGAGCTTTTGCAAAAGGTTCAGGGATAAAGGAACTATCTTTAATTCTGTTAAAGATATACTGGTGATTTTCTTCTGGTTTAGCAGCTCAACTAAAAAATAATTTGCAGCTCTGATCGTGTGGCTCAGTTGGTTGGGTGCCGTCAGGCAAAGTGAAAGGTCCGCTATTGATTTTCATGGGCACATATCTTGGTTGCAGGTTCAGTCCACAGCAGTAGCATGGGCAGGAGGCAACCAGTAGATGTTTCTCTCCCTCCCTGTCTAAAAACAAATAAAGTCTTTAAAAATTGCAGTGATTTAAATTTCAACTGTATAAAACTACTAAGGGCAGGAATTGTTTTACTGAAAACTTGGGGTCATTATATATGGAGGAGTATCTACGTGTAGACTGGGAGGCTAGAGATTTTTAAGGCTAAGTCTTTTGGTGTTGGAATGGTTATGAGTTATGGAAAACTGTTGGGAACTGGAAGCAGAGTGAAAATATACCTAGGGAAATGAGTGAAGCTTTTTTTGTTTCTGCTGTGTTGCTAGATTTTGTTGAGTAGTTAATCAGAAAGAAATTTCCCTTATTTCTAAAATGTTTGCTACTTTAATTTGTTCCCCCAGTCCAGGGCTAAACCTTTCAGTAGAAGTGCATTTCCAAAATTCATGTGGTGAATGCTGTTGGTTAGTGTGGCCTGAGTGAAATGCAGTATTTAGTCATCTGTTGAATGGTGTGATGTTCCTATTTAGGATTTATGAGAATTCGTTGTTTTCTGAAGGAGATCACTATAGCTTTAGTGGGTAAGAATCACAGACTCAAGCAAAAACTCTTAGCCCTTGTATATAATTTGTGGCCCTAGTGAAGTTATTACTCAGTGTTCAATACCTGCTTCTTCATATGTAATAAGGGCATAGTAGTACTGCTCTCAAGATGATTGTATTACTTTTTCTCCAGTGAAGCTGAGTATGCATAGTAATAATAAACACTTAATTTACCCATTGTTAGCATTATTAAACAAGTTCGTTTTAATCAAATTATTATAGCAAACCTTTTAAGGGAATAGCATTTGAAAAATGGAAATTTGGCTAAGCATTAGTCTCTCTTTATCTGTTTAAATTTAAGAACAAAGTAGAAGCTCTAGGATTTTGTGATGTGTTAACTGAATTTAAATTCTTTTTTTAAAAAAAATTTTTAATTAATTTTATTTAGTTATTTTTCAAGTACAGTTTTTTGTCTATTTCTCCCATCCCAGCCTCCCCCGCCCCTTGCTCCCACCTCCCTCCCATTTCCACCCCCCTTAGTTCTCGTCCCTGTGTCCTTCCTATTTGTTCCTCCAAATCCCTCCCCCTTTTTCCCCTTAACTTCCCTTCCTTCTCCCCTCTGGTCACTGTCTGAATTTAAATTCTTATTAAATGTTAAGTGTAACATTCGAAATACAAATAAAATACCCAGTTTAATAGATTACTTATCGATTTAGAAAATCTCATACTTACCCTGGCTGGTGTGGCTCAGTGGATTAAGTGCTGGCCTGTGAACCAAAGGTTCGATTCCCAGTCAAGGCACATGCCTGGGTTGTGAGCCAGGTCCTCAGTAGGGGGTGTGTGAGAGGCAACCACACATTGATGTTTATCTCCCTCTCTTTCTTCCTCCCTTCCCCTCTCTCTGTTCAATAGATAAATAAGTCTTTTTTTAAAAAGCCCCATACTTCGTGATACTCATTGGTTACCTAGTAAAATGATTTTCTTTAGAAGAAAATGCAGCATGGCTCTATTGATCATTATGTATCTTTTTTTTCCCCCCCCCTAACAGAAAGCGTGGATACCCATCAACGAAGTTTTGATATTGGAATTCAGATTGGCTATCAGCGACGCAATAAGGATGTGTTGGCTTGGGTTAAAAAGCGCAGAAGAACTATTCGTAGAGAAGATTTGATCAGCTTTCTGTGTGGGAAAGTTCCTCCACCACGAAACTCTAGAGCTCCCCCAAGACTGACTGTAGTGTCCCCTAACCGAGCTACTTCAACGGAAACTAGCTCATCTGTAGAGACTGATTTGCAACCCTTCCGGGAAGCCATAGCTCTGCATGGTAAAGCCGTTTAAACATATTTCTTTGGAACATGGTTAAGAGTGTGCCTGTGGATCCATTTTCACATTTAGGTTTAGTTCCAGATATATTGTCTGTTTTTTGTCTATTCTAGCAACTATTTGCTCTAGAAATGTTTAAATAGAATGTAAGCTAAGAACATATATGGACAATTTATGAATGTTAGATAGCCCATTCTAAAAAAATGTTTTCAAGAAAGTTAGTTTGAGCTTACTGATTTTACAGTAACAGTCTTTTGCAGCATTGATTAGAATTTATTGCTTTACTCATATTGTACATGTTCTCTTACTCTTCTGAGTCAAAGAGGAAGTTCTTGTGTTTTTAAGACTTCTACCACATTAATGATTGCCTGGAGGAGCCTGGTGAGTGACAGGCAAGTAAGGCAGGTAATTGTTGGGCTAGCTCTCATGGGAACTCCCTTTGACACCCTAAGTTATTGCATGTGCCTGTAGAGGGTGAGAATTGATGACCCAGTGGGAGTGGACTGATGGAATTGACTTTCCTTTGTCCCTTAGGTCCTTGCTTTGATAGTCAGGACTGTCAAAGAATAGGTCTGTCACCATCCCCCTAGGCAAGACCTGCCATAAAAAGGCATTCTTGGCTGAAGGGTGTAAGTATTATTGGAGAAGCCTGGAGTGTGTAGTCAATGAGTCTGTTGTTGCTTGTTGTTCTCTAATACAGACTTTCAAATACAACTGGGAGAAATACTTCTTATAGGACACCATTTTATACTGCTATAAAAATAAAACAACAAAATAATAAGACTTGGTTGAAGCCAAGGTGGAAATATGGATTGTGCCAGTGACTTAAGTATATAGCAGTGATTAGTGAGTTAGGTCATGAGTCCTGTTAAAAGTTAACATTTGGGCCATAGTGTTAGGTTATCTAAAGCAAAGTAACCTGGTAATAAAAATAGTGGAAAAATATAGAAGGTCTTCTGTATCCTGCATCCTTAATGCTTATATAGGTTCTTGTTCTCTTTGGCAAACCTTGATTCTTTACCTTCAAACCAGAATATGGGGTTTAAAAACATGTTGGTTTTCTTCCCTCTTCATTGTGACTTTGTAAGTTAAAAATACAGAAACATTTATTGCAAGAAACTCCGTAATGTATGGATGCAGTACTTAAGACTGCTTGCTGTTTTCTCATAATAGTGGAATAGTTATGCTATCAGAACTTTTGGAACTCAGGCAAAATGACAGATTGATCTGTTCCTGTTGAATTAAAGAGTTTCACATCTTTTACCTTTAAATTTGGAAAATTTACTGGAAGTCCACATAGATTGTCAGATTAATTTTAATGCATGGTAATATTTGATATAGTTTTTTTCTAAGTATTCTTCTTTTCTTTTATCAAGTGGATTTATGACTCATTCCACACTTCTCTTGTTACAGTGTCTTTTTCTGTATTATACTATGCTGTGCTTTTAGAAGATAGTTTTAAAAAACAAATGCCATTCTTGTTTTAAAATTTAATGCAGTTGTATACGTGGGTGGGCAAAGTAGGTTTACAGTTGTTCATGTGGAAAATAATACAATAAATAATAATACAAGAATAAACTGTTTCATGTACTCACGACTGTAAACCTACTTTTTGCCCCATTGTACAAAGGGCAAGCCAGCCCCTTCCCTGGACAACTACTATATCCTCTACCTTCCCATACATTTTCCAAAATTGAATTTGTTCAACTTGTGATTATATATTTTCCTGAACTTTGGGAGTTTCAATAATGATGTAATTTTAGGAAGGGTGTCTCTATAATTTTATTTATGTTTAATTTGTGAGGGTTTAAATAAGTTTACTTACAAAGCTGTGTAGAAAAATAATCTTTCCCTTTAATAAATTTACCAAGTAGTGGCTAATCCAGAATACATTGGAGACTCTGTGTACTCTTATTCCTAGGGTTCATATACCAAATTCATGTAGTTAAACTTACATGCTTTGTGGTGAAGTAATAAGGGCCCCTTGAAAGAGTATACAGAAACATAAATTATACTGAGTTTTGTGCTCTAGTGGTTATAGAGAACATCAGTGTATTGGGAATGCTTGATTTGAGTGTTTAAGGTAATTGGAGTGATTTTTAATGGCAGGGCATTGTTAACTAAATTGTAATGCAGCTTAATGATTGATTAACTTTGTAACAAGGTGTCCTCATGATCTGTTTTATTGAATAGTAAATTGAAGTGAAAATTGTTCAGATCTTTAAAAATGTTTTTCAAAACATCTTAATTAGGGCACATACTTACAAGAATTTGGTTTGGTATATAATTGGCTTAGCCAACTATGTGAAATGTGAGGTCAAAATGAAGTTCTTTGAGTTCTACATTGGAGGAGGAGTTTAAATTCATGAAGTTTAGGAGTGTAAGAGGGGATATAGGAAAAGAATTGGTATATTGAGGCAGACTTCTTGAGTTTCATAGACGAAGTAAACTTGAGTGTAGGAGGTCACATTGATTTATTCTTCCCCACACATTACATGTTATGTCCATTTTATAAGAGGACAATTATCTTTATAGTTTTTTCTTTGTCAGCTCCTAAATTCTCACCTGCACCAAATGTGCCCGTATATGCCTAAAATACGTCCTTTATGTATAAGATAAAAATGACAGATGTAAGATACTTGTAGAGTAGTTCATATTGGCGATGCGGATGTGACAGTGTCAAGTTTACAGAGTGCTGAATTGATAACCGGTCACCTCATTTTTATGTAAACACATTCACACTAAAATCATCTGGACCTCCTTTTGTGGTTCTCTGTTTTTCTCATAATTCCCTTTTTAGTTATACTTTCTCTTGTAGAGATTTTCTTTTTGTTCTCACGCTGACTTGAAAACACTCCAGAGGCCATTATTAATTTTCAAAATTTGTACTTCTAGTTTAGACCTCTTTGCTGACTCAAATATGTGTGGTCCCATTGTCTTTGGTGGACTCTCTACTGGGTGTCCCATAGGCCTTTATCTCACAAAGATGTCAAACTGGACTCCCTTTAGACCCAGCTACAGCAAGGACGTGTTTTTTTCCTCTTTAACCATATGGCAAATGTGTACATGGCAGATTTTGTGCAGTCTCTGGGAATGTATAAATGAATGCTTTCTTTTCTGTTGAGTCCAACACATACTTTGGATAATAATTTAATGTCTTGAACATCATATGTTTAAGATATTCTGGGTACAGAAAGGGACATCTCATAGTGCTGCCTGGCTATGTATTTAGAGAAGGCTCTTTGGAGGAGTTGAGTCCTGGGCTCTAGGAATAATCTTGCTGCTCTTGTTTCCCAACCCTTAGTTGACCCATTTGCCAGTCCACATTTCCTGGGGCTGTCGGAGTGGTCTTTTTGATCTCTTCTCTTCACTGAAAAAATAACTGGTTTCCCTGCGGCCTATAGGGTAAGGTCAGAACTCAGCTTGGCATTGCAAGGCCTTTATGACTTGGTCTCAGCCTTAGGTCGCATATCTTAGCCATACTGTTTAATCTATTGAATGTCTAACTCTCTTTTTTCTAAGGTTTTTCACTCTGCCCGTTTCTTCTTTCAGATTGATTAAAAGTCTCTTCTGTGACAGAGATTTCCAAATGGTGGTTTCCATTTTCTTTGTCCTTCCTGAACTACACATCTTTTTTTTTCCCCCAATTTGAATTGTTTCTGTGGCTAGGGCTTCATTAGGGCAGGGGCCTTGTCTTACAGGTTCTGGCTTTAATGAATCTGGTGTAGATTATTCTGAGCTTTAACACTGGTTCAGCAGTCTGTTAAGTGACTGGATGCACACAGTTTGGGCAGAGAACCTTTAGAAAGAGTTGAGGATACAGATCTCTAGATGACTACTATAAGGGTACACTGTAATGAGTGTACCTTAGGAATGCTACAAAGTAAACCTAAATTAGAACAACCGAAACTTGGAGTAGGGCCTGAGGATGAATCACAATAACTAATTTAGTGTTTACTTGGTGTTGGCACCAAGGACAGTCTACTTTAATCCTGAGGCTTACCTTGGGTTGTTGCCATTTTTATCAATGAAGAAAGGCTTATTTGGCTAAAATGGAAGAGATCAGTAAATAGTAGAATAGATACTCCAGATTTGTCTGGCTTCTAGATGCATGCTGTTAACCACTGTGTCTCTATGTTTGTACATTTGTGGTTTCTCTACCACCTTCTGTTGATAGGGCCGGGGGGTGGGATGGTATAGGTCTCTAGGCTTATTTTTCTTCTCTGTCAGAAAATACATGAGTTTTGTATCTTTCTGGTGTTCTCCCCATAAAGGAATGTGGATAAGTAGGCTTGCAGATGAATGTCTTGTGGTTTGCTGTGTTTCTATCTTAACTTTAGTAGGAAGAGTATTTAAGCTTTGTATATAGGCTGCTTTCCTAGTATGACCTTAGGCAATATGGTTAGCCTCGCCAAGGCAGTCTCCTCCTCTGTGAAAGGCGATACACTTTGTATATAAGGTGGTATAGTAAATGAGAAACTACCCAAAGTATCTACTCTTAGGGTTAGTTCTAAGTCCCATGAGTGTTCTCTTTGCCCCTGGATACAAAAGAGACCTGGGGCTACAGTGGCCTTTGAGGATACTTTCCCCCCTCCTTTTTTGGTAAGGGTAGCTTTTTAATATTGTGGAAATCACTCCAGAGGGGGAGAGGGTTAACTTAAAATTTACGGTTAACTACTTATTTTACTTCCTCAGATCTTGAGCTTGTTTCCTGTTGATAAAAACCAGTGAGGCTGGTGATGTTCTCTTTCTGTTGCATGGAGAGAGATTCTTAGGAGCCCAAATTAGTGCTGCTGTGTTTGGAAATGTCTTAGTTTGAAATCTGGTGTCTTCATTCTCAGTTCTGTTTGTCATCATGGAGATTTTGGTGAAAGGGTCCAGAGTAAGAATGGGACATGCCATCCTGAAGGGGAAGATAAGAGACCTGGATGGAAAAGGAAAAAGCAGGATGCCAAGTCAGACTTCACTCATTTGATAAATTGTTTGAAAGCCTTGCTCTTA